TGCACCCTTTCATGGATCTTAATGCTGGTTTGGGAGTTTTCTTTATATAAATTGGTGATTTGTCTGTGAGTGATCCTCCTATTCTTCACTCAGCATAATTGTAAATGTATAACTCCATTATCACTAGTTAACATGTAAAGACCCTTATACCCATGCCACTTTGCCCATTTATAGATAACACCTTCATGGAAGTATTATAACTGAGTTGTATAACCACATTAATGTTGCTATTGTGGACAAGGACATATTTGGCTTGTCAAGACCCCCACTTTCCCCTCAGTGTGCTTAGCCTTCCCTCAATAAATGAGATAGTTGTTCACCTAACCTATGGAGGGAGCTGAGTAAAATATTCTATAATGCATAGGCTACAACAGTGACACCAACAGGAACAAAGATGTTGATTATGTTCTATTTCTAAAAATACTTTAGGTTTGAGCAATGAATTAGCTGATGCACCAAGGAAAATTATTTGCTTTGCCAATGACGCTCCACAGGTGTGAGATTGTGCATAGGTTTCCTAACTTATGTAATGTCATGCAAATATTAAACACGTACTAACTAAATATGTGTATATCTGTGTCCATTGTACTGGGTGCAACTGCTTGTTACTTTTAATTATGGATGACAAAAGATGCACTGTGGTTCTTAATCATTATCATATGTTCCAGTCTTTAAAAATGAACATCACTCCCCCTTATGTTTTTCCCCCATTCTTACCTTTTTCAATGGGTTGTTCACAAAAAACATACTCACGAGTCCAGGGAATCCAGTGATGTTCTGTAGGGATCCTCTGCTGATGATTACCTGGTGTGGCACCACCAATTTCATCTCTGATGTCATCAGGGGGCCGGTCTCTTCCAGGTTCTTGAAGTCGCCCCCCTAATGATGCACATGCACCCCACATCTTCTAGAGCTTTCAGATAGCACCAAAAATAGGACTGCTATAGTAGTATGCAAATACTGCCTTTAACAAGGAAGTTGATGCTTGGGCCCACCCTTGGCCTTCCCCACTATTGGTAGCAGAGATCAACCATCATGATAAAAAACTAACGGTAAGGAAAAAGGCCCAGAATTGACTTCTTAGCTTAAAGCTGAACTCAAGCCTTACCTTTAGTCTTTCACAGTTGTACAGGCTCCTTTCCGGTACTGAAATTGCTTTCACTGTGCACTGTGAGCTTTTCACAGTGTGCATTAAAAGCTGCAGCAAGTCCAACAGAGCATGCCTCATTTATGGGCTGTAAGACAGCTAGCATCATTTAGCACTCCCCCCTTCCCCCAACCTTACTGTCTCTGACCTGCCCCTTACAACTATTGGATGTAAACTCTTTCAATATTAGAGGCACAGCATCATATGTGGGCATTACCTGGGGCTATCTGCATGCAAATGCAGTCTGGCTAGGAATGTGCACTCCCCCAGACTGACATCCACCTGTCAAGACATTTTGATATTTGCTATTTGAACCACAAGGATGACTTTGTTATAGACTCTACAGACCTAAAATCTGAAAATGAATCTACATAAAAAGAAGCAAAATGTATACACAGACAACAATTGCTTCCTACTCCCCATATATCCAAACTTTATTGCTCAAAATTACTGATTAAAGCCATGGCACAAATCATAAAATATACCGCATTTTGATTTTTGCATAGCTTCACTGGCCCACTGCTTGCATCAGGGCTGAGGGATAAGAAGATGTTAAAATGATACTCAGTGCTGCTGTGTTGAACTGTTTACTGCTACTTGATCAAGTACGTATCCAGTTTTTTCTCTATTAATACTAATGAGGAAATTCTAGATGGAAGGGTTGGTTAGTTTACTATAATATCTGGAGAGTATATGGCAATGTCTGCCATTTGTCTGCCATAAACACATATATTCTTTCTTGAACTGTTTATCGTATGTTTACGTTTAAGGGATTTTTTGTTAATTACTTACTTTTTATGTGTATGAGTGATGATAAAAATGCCCAGTTGCCACTCTTAAATGTATGTGTGTATTTTTTAAAATATTGGTAGTTTGAATGTTTATTTGGCACTTATAAAAGGATTCCAGTAATGTTATATGACTTTAGAAAAACAATAAGCTTCTCTGGGAAAAGGCTTGTTTATTGGGATCCTATGCCTACTTCAGTTACATATAGTAGAATTATTATTATTTCAGGTATTTATATAGTACCAACAATTTATGCAGTGCTTTACATAATGTACATTCACGTCAGTCCCTGTCCTCAAGGAGCTTACATGCATACATACAAGGGCCAATTTAGACAGGAGCCAATTAACCTACCCGCATGTCTTTGGCGTGTGGTAGGAAACCCACACAAGCATAGTGAGAAGATGCAAGCTTCTTGCAGATAGTGACAAATGCAAAGCAGGAGCCCTAACCACTCCCCGGTGGGGAGATTGACCCTCTCTATTTGTACTGGTGACCACTGTCATTGGAACAGAAAGTGATGGGAAATCTAACATATTACAGTTGTCAATGAAACAAGAATAAAAGAGATCTACCAAAGGGAAACCTATTCTGGTAACAACTGTCTAGGATGGGATTTTCCCATAGCGTTTCTATCATTCCATGCTTTCAAAAGAACATCCATACAAGAGAACAGCTTTAACTTAGATAGATATGCTCTAGATATGCTCTATGAAGCCCAAAAATAGGCTTACAATAAATGCAGGTAACAGTTTAAAACATTCCTTACCACAATAAAAATTATATAGGGATTAGAAACACACCAATAATATGTCCTTCCAAGAAGTACATGTTTTTATATGTAGGGGATTTCCAACTGGTTGGAAAATCTCTACAACTAATCAAAATTATTACTCTCTCTCTAAGCTATGCTTAGAAAGTTCTAGGTAGATTCTGGCTGCACATAATCAAGCAAGGACTGGCAGATCTCTGACTGTCCATCATTTTTGAGAGAAGGTGGGCTGGCTATGGTCACCACTATTTTTTGAGATACAAGATGACTACTAATGAGATCTGTGCCATGGTCTCCTACTAATGTGGCCCATGTTTAGAAACTGATTACTAATTCATTTAGAACATCCTAACATTATTAATATGTCAGATTGACCAGATTGAAGTTGAGGCTTGACCTCTGACTGATGTCAGAAGAAATAGCGAGGCAATTGTGAAGTGATCTGCCACACGTATTTCCTATTTAATCAACCAGCCGATTCTTGCTGCTGGCTGGGATTAGTTCACAGTGTGTTCAAGCACTGCATGCCTCCTTCCTAACGAGAGTGAATTCCTTGGAGGAATAGAAAGATAGTAATGAAATAAGATTGTAAATGATGAAGGCTGAAAGCAAAATGAAAAATGCCACTGGATAAGTTTGCAATATTTATTATATTTTTTAAAGAAAAAAATAAGTTGCCTTCTGTAAATTGTCTTACCAACATATAAGGTAATAAAACTGAAAAAACTTTAATAATTTATGCATGTAAAAAACAGATTACCCGACCCAGGCTATTTTAATGAAGTGGAAATTTTGCCCAGTTTCACCAGTTCAGCAAGAATTAGTAATCAGGAACCACCAGTAATGGTGCCTGGAAAGTAGGGTATTGAAAATAATGGGCACTGTACATTGCAGCCCTCTGGATCCC